GGTTGATTAGTGCGGGTGAGTGCTCTCGCGTTGTGTGCTTCGAGTGATGGTTAGAGAGCACTAAAAACTGACGATCGGACATCCAGAGTGAACACCTATTTAGCAAAACGCTACGTTAAATAAATGTCAATGTGAGACCTATTGTCCGTACAGGCTATAAACACATGCGAGTACTGTACCAGTGTGTGAGTGTAGAGTGAATCGAACGTTTTGTTTTTTTTTTTAGATGCGGCATGTTTAAATATCATTTCTTATTAGTAGGCGTCGATGCGCGAATGGTAAGCGTTTACCTATATTGATTCGGGGAGAGCATTGCAGAAATGTGTGTTATTCATCGACATGCATTCGTCGAAAGTGTGGGGGCGTTTAACGAAGCCATGAACTGTTTCGGAGCTAATTCCTACGCAGGGCATTGTGGAGCAAATGTTTTCATAACAAGGGAAGGGAGAAGGATATTTGTGGCTCTCGTAATAGGCCGTGTAGATGTTAGCTATAGATGCAATACGTAACAGTCACAACAGGTTAACTACGTGTCTAGTGTATACTATATCACGAAGCAAGGGTCAGTCACTAATCTGTAAAGGTGTTCGGTTTTCAGTTGTCGTTTTAGTGCGCAAAACCGTCCAATGCGACACAATCACGCACAGCATCACACAGCAAAAATAACAAAATAATGCGGCATGCATGAATTCTCAGCACACTCTCGGTCCTGTTGTTCATTGTACTCATTCATTCCGTCTTTTCCACACGGGCTTGTGGGGTGTAGACGGTGGAATACCCTGCCACGCCCAACTCACGATGATACACGTAATCTCTAGCGGGATGTGCTAATGCAGCGGCGTTTTATTAGGCATTGTGAGAAGGTAAATGTACTAATTTATCAATGTGAAACTATTATTTACAATCGCGTAGAGTGAAATAGGAAGATTTGCCGCGCATAGTAGAGGTACACTCAGCAGCACAGCCGGGCCGTAGTTATGAGCTGGGTGAGGGGGCGTGCGTGCGTCGGGCGTGCGTGCGTGCGTTCACGGAGTCAGAGAGTGTAAGGTAGCAAACTAGGTGAGCTCGGTAGGAAGGAAGCTATTCGTGCAGAGAGTGGGGAGGGACAGGTTGTCGCCGCGGCGGTAAAGGTCGCCGTGAATGCCCCGCCCCCACCATACCAGCACGCACGCACACACACAGCACACACACGCGCGGATGCCAAAGCACACACACACGGGAGGGGACCAGCACACAGCAGCGCAGCGCGCGCGCGAAGACACACACACGCACGGCACACACAGCGGGCACACCAGACACGCAGCGCACACGCGCGCGCGCGTGGCGTTCCCGCCTGCAAGCTGAGCGCCACTGTAGCCGTTTTCGCCGGCAATATTGTGTCATCCATCTTACATCCACTGCCATGCAACTGCAGATTAAGTCTTTATCCTCTCATTGATCCGGTTAAGTCGCAGCGAGCGAGCGCGCGCCCGCGATCTTAATGCGACGCCGGGAGTCTCGCACGCAGCGTGCGTGCGGCGTGCGTGCGTGGCGTGCGTGTGGGCGTGGCGTGCGGCCAGCGCGGCTGCGCGCTGCTGTACGCACACGCGACACAGCATCTGGTGTGAGCGAGCGAGCACCACTGCCATTAGCAGACGTCACGTCACGTACAGTTGTTCG